CACTAAGCCCTATCAATTCTTTGTCTCTCAGAGCAAAAAATTCCATTTGTCAAGTTCACTAAAGTTCTCTCAGTCCATAGAACAGATCCTGGAATAAAGCATGAGCTTAATATTTTTCATGAATAAGTAAATCAGATCTGGAAAATATAAAGGTTAGGAGGGAGATATCTGATCAAGTCATTTTGTATTAAAAGTTCAATTTTTAAAACTTAAAAGTCTTATCAATAAAAAGAAAGTTTGAAAATAAATTTGCTAGTTCAGTAATGGCAAATGAAGTTTCAGGGTAATAACCAAACTTCTCTTTTGCACTATGAGGTTGCTGGAAAAAAAAAAAGCAATGATTATACATGGCAAAATTAGAGATCCAATCAGGAGGCAGAAATCACACAATAATTTGAACTTGGAAAGTTCAATATCAAAAAAATATTACAGGGGACTGGAGTAATGAGAGATTGGCTAAAAGATTACGGGAATGACAAACACAAGAAGCACTCACTACCCCTAAGGTTGAGATAAAGGTCCTCCCACTCCCTAACACTGGCTGACTGAATGGCAGAGAAGCAGCAGGTGGGACCCGCCCAAAAATCCTCCCTCTTCGGTGCTGGGAAAAACTGTTTATTGAGAGGTATTTCACTGGAGACCTTCCATTATGAAACCAACTAAGACAGGTACTAGGGGACGCTGCTGGTTGCTGCTGACCACTGTGCAGTACAAGAGCCAGGCCTTGGAGAAGGTGTTCATGCTACAAGCAGAGCCTGTCAAGAAAGCACACTATAACTAAATACAAACACCCTTTCCTCCTGCAATGCCCCTCCAGTACAGCCTATCAACAAAGCTTAACATTTTGCCCAGTGGTAAAAGAAAAACGTTTAAAGGACCCAGCTCCACTTCCACAGAGCATGCAAAAAGGGTTTACAAATGGTCTCTGACTTGTGATATTGTAAAAGCAATACACATTCAGTAGAAACCATACTTCAAGTACCCAGGTAAAGATTCTGCTTTTCACTTTCAGTACAGTATTCAATAAATTACATGAAATATTCAACCTTTATTATAAAATAGGCTTTGAATTAGATTTTGCCAAACTGTAAACTAATGTAAATGTTCTGAGTATGTATAAAGCAAGCTAGGCTGAAGCCATGATTTTCAGGAAGTCTGGCATATTAAACTCATTTTTTACTTACTGTATTTTCAATTTACAGTGGGTTTACCAGGATATAATCCTATCATAAACTGAGGAGAATGTGTATTAGAAGCTAAGAGGCAAGTCTACCCCTTGGCTACTCAGCTTCCATATGTACTCTTCTCTACACATTTGAACTCCCTTATAATAATAATAATAAGCCAAAGGCAGAGGTGGCTTCCTCAGCATCAGGTTCCTGAAGCACAGGCAGCTTCTTCTGCACCCATTGATACTTACAATTCCTTTTCTAGCAACCAATCAAGAGAGCAATACAAGGCCATTAAGGAGGAAATTCCACAACTTCTTTTATAGTTCACATCAGAGTCAGTTCTTTTTATCTGAGTCCTTCTTATACAAAGTCCTTCTTATATGAAGTTGTGGGCAAACGTGTGTGTGTGTGTGTGTGTGTGTGTGTGTGTGTGTGTGTAGAACTGACTCTGGCACTAGATCTCGGTTAAAATCCAGGGGGGTGGAGGGGAGGTGTGTGTAGGAGAAATAATTCTGGCACTAGATAATCTTAGTTAAAATCCAGGTCTATCACTTTTAACTATAGTGCTTTAAGCAAGTTACCTGTTTCCTTGCCCCTGTAAAATAAGGGGAATAATATCTACCTAGTAGGGTTGTTGTGAAGAGTAAATCAACTAAGTGAAGATTAAATCAAACAACCTGTGTGAACCTTGCACAAGTGTTAACCACTATTATTTTACTTGTAGAGACAAAGTGAGTTAATTTCCTGTCTCCCCACACTGCATGAAAGCTTCATAAAGGCAGTGGAATTTGTCTGTTTTGTCTGTTATTCCCACCACCTAGAACAGTTCCTGGACTAAATAGGTGTTTAAATATTTGTTTATTGAAAACAAGTAAACCACTGATCACAAGCTCTTCTATAAAAAAAGTTACTAATGGCAACTTTTCGAAGTTCTAAAGACAACCTAGAGTTTAGCAACTAAAAAAGTTAATGGGGGGAGGAGGAGGGAGGAAAAAATGATGTTGATCTCTTCTTTAAAAAGACCAAAAATCAGCAACATATTCCTTCAGTGTTTTAACTTGCCTGACTCTGGCATATACCAGTTGTATGGCCTGGGGAAAAAAAAAATCATTCCACTTGAGCCTCAGTTTTCCCTTTTCAGGGGAAATAACTACTTCAAAAGATTGTTAAAACATAAAATACAATAAAATGATTTAAATGACAGCATCTAGGATAAAGTTTGTACTCTACTAAAGCTCAGTATCATCTAAATGTGACCTCCGGTTTTTCTAGTTCGAACAGTATACAAAGAGCTTTCACTGTGCACTCAATCTGAGCTTTAACTGAAAAAGCTGTTCTCAGGGGGTTTCAGAAACAGGAGATACTGCTTAGTTTAAGTTTCATCAGATGGCAAATTCTGTAATCTCCCGAAACATTCTTTCCAAGAGTTTCTATGAAAAGAATATAAGATTGTATTCTGAATCCACTGAAGGTAAAACAAGAGCATCCAAGACATATCTAACTTAAATACGTCCTATACAGAAAAAAAAAAAAAACAAACAAAAAACCAAAAAAACCCTGCCGTGGCTAATGCCTGTAATCCTAGCACTTTGGGAGTCCGAGGCGGGCGGATCGTGAGGTCAAGAGATCGAGACCATCCTGGCCAACATGGTGAAACCCCATTTCTACTAAAAATACAAAAATTAGCTGGGCGTGGTGGCGCGCGCCTGTAGTCCAGCTACTCGGGAGGCTGAGGCAGGAGAATCGCTTGGACCCGGGAGGCAGAAGTTGCAGTGGGCCAAGATCACTTCACTGCACTCCAGCCTGGTGACAGAGCAAGACTCCGTCTCAAAAAAAAAAAAAAAAAAAAAAAAAAAAACCAACAAATATCTGGCATTAAATGGTGGATATTCTGAAAAGTGACCCTATTGATAAGCCACATTGTTTACCAGAAGAGAAATAATTTATTCATATTTTCACAATATTCACATCTAATTTTCTAGAACTTAACTTCATTAATTCCCTTATTAATTTCTGCCAAACTGACATAAACGTCCCGTCAAAAAGTACCACAAAATACAGGTTATAAAAACACTACTATTAGCAATTTGTAGTGATACCAGAGCACACACCCTTACTATTTACTACTCCAAGGAGCTGTTGGCAAAGTTCTCAATTATTCTTAACTTACAGAAACAAACAATTTTATCATTGACTCAAAACAGAAAGTGGTGATATCTATTTTTCTGGCAGTACTAGAGCTCAATTAACAAGCAGTCTTTCTAAACCTCACAGCAGATGAAACACTAGCTTTGCTAAAAATAATATAAAATGATGGATGTTAAAACTAGAATAGATCTTATCTACTGTAAGTACTACCAGTCTTACAGCAATGTAAGTTTTAATATTTGAAATGTAGAAATAAAGTTTACAAGATTTGTAGGCTCCACAGAACCCTGGTGTTCTAGGTGAGAAAACCTAGACCAGAAAACCAGAGTTTAAGTGACTGGTTCCCACTCTCTTGCTCCCAACACAAACAGCCAGGCCAGTCAGAGACAGTGCTGATTAGAACTGATTTTCTCTACTTTATGAAAACTCCTCTTATCAGAAAAATTGATACTGCCCTTTCTTTCGGTATCTCGTTATCTACACATTTGTGTGTGTGTGTGTGTGTGTAAAAGATACATTAAGGATCACAAGTTCTAGTTATGCTTGCTTCCCCTAAGCTTCTTACAAGAGCAGCTAGATCATGAAGGAGGTGGTTGTAGTACGTGTACATAATAGATATCAACATTCACGTAAGTCTTTATTGGAAAACTGGGATGTAACACCACCAACCAGCTTACACAAGAGAAAAACACAAACTAAGTTACTGACAGCGGGATGATGAACCACCCAACGAGTTAAAAAGAAACAAAAGTACGCCACTATATCTTAATAAGTATCCAGTCTTTGGGTTCAAATTATATTCTTTCCCCAGTTTTAGTCATTTTGTAACAAATTTTAATAAGCCTGATATGTATTTCATGGTCATGTCTGAGGTTGGCTGAACTTAAGCATCCCTATATAACACACTTAACACTTAGTAACTTGCTAGTTACCTATGGTTAACAAATGTTTCATATGGTATGTTTTTAAAACTTTCAGTGAAACACTTTAACATTTTTAACCCAGCAAACAAAAACTGTCTAAGCAAATAACCCACACGAGTAGAAAAATGACCTTAAGCTTAACCTGAAACACAGGTATAATAAGGAAAACAAATGGAGAGAAGTCCATCTCAATTCAGGAGGCAGAAGAACTCCCGCTGCCCCCAACACACACAAAGAGGGATGGCAGTGGAAGGCAGGCTCATAAACCAGAGGTGTACTGGACAAGTCAAGCGATTCCTCCCGGTTTCCGCATTCTGCAACAGCGGTCGCTCAGTGGTGTGGTTAGGGCCGCAATCTATAACCTTCATTCCAGAAGACCCCAGCATTTCTATGTGGTGTCCAAATCCAATTGGTGAGCAAAGAAAGGGCTGAAAGGCCAGGCCGTGATACTTAGGGACGTTGGACGTACGGCAAGAAACATTTTCCACTCTCAATCGAAATCGGAGCAATGGGTGTATTGCGGAAAAGACTTATTAGGAAGGTCCCCTAAGACAAAGGGCTGCGAGTCACGAACCATCCCCAAGCTCGGGAGCGGGAACCGAACGGTCCCGGGGCCGTATCGGCGCAGCCTGCACCCCGCGCTAAGGCGGCGCCCGACCGCACCGCCCACATTCCGGAAGTATTCGGAGACCCCCTACCCAGCCGGCCCGAGCTGACCCTCTCCTCCACCCGTACGCCCGCGGACCGAGCTCCTCACCCTGGTGATTGAACAGTCTCCATATTCTGGTGAAGAGAATTCCCATTCTCGGACAGCAGACCCCCCCTCCAGACACCCGGGCCGCCTGGCTTCCCCTGGCTCAAGCTGAAGGGGAGGAGAGAGACGCGTTGGAGCCTCCGCCTCTGCTGCTGCTCCCGCGCTGGTCGCGGGCCCGCTTCCAGGGAACCGGAGGGAGGCCGCAGCCCAGGCCGCCCTGCCGCGCGCAAGGCCCCGCCGCTGCCGCCGCGGCACTCGCCTGGCTCGCGGACATCGCCGCCGCGTTGTCTGCGACGAGCCTCGCGGGCCACCGTCCTCCCCCAGTTCCTCTCGGGCGGCTGCGGTGGCGACGACCACGCGGGCGGGGGAGGCGAGGGGGTGGGTTTGGCGGGACGTGAGTGCGCAGGCGCGCGGCCAGAGGGGCGGAGCCTGGGAAAGGGCGCCCGCCTGGTTCTCGCTTATTTGCATAACCAAGACTGCTGAAGGCGTGGGACCTTTCCCTGGGACTGAGGCTGTGAAGGCCGCAAGTTGGGGCAGATGGCTTCCGATTGCTTGCTGTTGCGTCCCCGAGTATTTATATTTCTCTCGAATCTCCTCCATTGCTCCATAATGTGAACATATAATTGAGTACCCCATGTCCATCCCCAACCCTTGGCACACCAGTAAAAGTTCCACGTCTTGACCTCTAAGACATGGTGTCCCCCCTGGGTCTTTTAGGGAAAAGCCTGCCGCCCTCTGACACTCAGCTGAAGTCAGTGGCCTTACCTAGATAGTCGCCTTAAAGCCGTTTTTGCACTTCAGGGCTCTTTTCTTTCCAATCTCTCTTCACTCTCAGGTCAGTATTGCCCAAAACAACGATTTTGATCAAGTCACTCCCCTATTTAAAAACCTTTAGTGGCCACTAAAGCTCCGTCCCTTTCTGTTCTCCTTAACCTTAGTAAAAAGGAAAAGAAAGAAAAATTGGGAGACGTAGGAGCCATTTGAACTGCTTTGTACGCCCATCCACAACAGCTGCATGAAATTAAGCAAAATCAGCAATAAACTGCACCTTCCCATCTCACTTCTCCTAACTACATACAATTTTACCTCAAAATATAGAAAAGTAATTTATTTGACTTCTTTTGGGGCTTTATGGTTAAAAAGCCAAAATTTAGAGGAGCCATACATGAAGGGAAGGAAAATCATAGTAATCCATATTAATTTATAGATTATCATGTCTGGATTTACTTAATACTCTGTACGCTGTTTAGAAAAACAATGTAGTTTGTACAAGCAATTTGCATTAACTCTTTAATATTTCCATTCTTGCATGCTGTAGGTAATGCTTTGGTAGCTCTAAGACTTTTGCAGATTCCCACGCAGATGTCAGCTTATGAAATGGATGTCATATACACATTAACCTGTGATGCTGGAGCTTCATGTTTCACAATCTACCTTAAGGAAATTGTCTCCCAGGTTATTTTCCGAGTGAAAAAAGGAGAGAGAGAGACAGTTTAAAGACCAGTTTATCTAAGATTAGAGAGAAGTTCAAAATGTCATTAGAGAGACTTCTGATTTCAGGCATGAGAGAGTAGGATGGTTTGAATATACCCTCCTACCATTAACAAATAGAAAACTGCACAAAGTACAGGCAACGACATTTCAGATATTGAAAAACACATCACAGGACTGTGATTCTTTGCAAAAGAGAAACAAGTGGAGTCTTACCATTTCCTGGACTTTATCCCTAAAAGGAATTCCCAGTCAACTACGGAGGAAGTGGGAACCTAAATGAGAATTTGGGAACCTCCTAGAACTGAAGATGCACATCAGCATTCCCAGAGATCAAGATGGCTAGAATTTGTGAAGCAGAGTAACTGGAAGGAGGCAGCTACACAGAGAAAAGCTCTACAAACCTGTTAATGGGCCATGGAGTCTTTGGCTGCATATCACTTTGTACTCATACAGTATGCACCCGCAGGAGGCTGGCCAATCACAATTCCTGAGGAAAAATAAGTACCAGGGAACTGTAATGCAAATGATTCCCAGAGATGACAACGGGTCAGGAATTATTCGAATTCCCTTCAGCCAGAGTGAAGAGAACTGAATATATAGGACGGGGGTGTCCAATCTTTTAGCTTCCTTGGGCCACACTGGCAGAAGAATTGTCTTGGGCCACACATAACATAAGCTAACATTATTGATAGCTGATTAGCGAAAAAATAAATAAAATCACAAAAATACTCATAATCTTTTAAGAAAGTTTACGAATTTGTGTTGGCCACATTCAAAACCATCCTGGGGCCAGGTGTGGCTCACATCTGTAATCCCAGCACTTTGGGAGGCCGAGGTGGGCAGACCGCTTGAGGCCAAGAGTTTGAGACCAGCCTGGCCAACACGATGAAATCCCATCTCTACTAAAATTACAAAAATTACCCGGGCATGGTGGTGCACGCCTGTAATCCCAGCTACTCTGGAGGCTGAGGCAGGAGAATCGCTTGAACTCAGGAGGTGGAGATTGCACTGAGCCGAGATTGAACCACTGCACTCCAGCCTGGGCGACAGAACGAGACTCTGTCTCAAAACTAAATAAATAAATAAATAAATAAATAAATTTTTAAAAAGCCATCCTGGGCTGCATGCAGCCCACAGGCTGTGGGTTGGATAAACTCGATATAATTGAGTGGACACCCCCAGAGACCTTAGAAGAGGAGCTAACTGGCCTAAGAATAAGCCCTACATAAGACCAGTTCTAAAGAAGCTTAAAACCAAACCTTGAAAGGGCCAAACTAATTCACAATTGCCTGCCAAAATAAGTATAACATTCTTTAAAGGAATACAAGATCAAGTCATCAGCAATGTAAACTTTACATTGTACTAAATCCAATACAAAATCACTAGACGTGCAAGGAAACAGGAAAATGTGATCCATAATCAAAAGAAAATCACTCTACAGAAATACCCAGGCATGGGGACGTTAAGTGATTGCTGCAAGTTCACGGCTAGTTATTGCTGGATCAAGACTTTGAACCCAGACAAAGGTTAGATCCATACTCAAACCACTGTGCTAATCTTCATGTTGTATGAAAGTACAAATGAGATGTTTCTCTCCTTAGTCCATTTTATTATTGGAAATGTGCTGATGACAAGAGAAGTAGCTTCAGGCATGGCTGGTGGATGAGTTTCAAATTGTTGGCTGAAATACTTTGATAGTTGAGATAGCCTTATATAATACCTCTCCAATAACTGAGGTACTGTTCATTCAGTCAACATTTATTATATTCCAGGCATTGTTTTGTATGCTTCAGATAATTACCTAGCTTAACAGTAACATATGAGTACTTTTTTTTTTTTTGAGACAGAGTTTCGCTCTTGTTGCCCAGGCTGGAGTGCATTGGTACGATCTCGGTTTACTGCAACCCCCGCCTCCCGGGTTCAAGCGATTCTGCTGCCTCATTCTCCCGAGTGGCTGAGATTACAGGCATGCGCCACCACACCCAGCTAATTTTGTATTTTTAGCAGAGACGGGGTTTCTCCATGTTGGTCAGGCTGGTCTTGAACTCGCGACCTCAGGTGATCCACCCACCTCGGCCTCCCAAAGTGCTGGGATTACGGGTGTGAGCCACTGTGCCCAGCCAAGAATTTTTCTTTAACATTTAAAATTTTTATTTAAAAATACATACTCATAGCCGGGTGCAGTGGAGGTGAAGGCAAAAGATACCAGTGAAGATGGATCCATTATGTAGGCTCACAATGATGGAGAAAAATAAGCTGAAATATCCAGTTGAGGGAAATGACTAATGCAACATAATTAAGAATTTAGGCCAGGCGTGGTGGCTCACGCCTGTAATCCCAGCACTTTGGGAGGCCGAGGCAGGCAGATCACCTGAAGTCGCGAGTTCGAGACCAGCCTGACCGACATGGAGAAACCCCGTCTCTGCTAAAAATACAAAATTAGCCAGGTGTGGTGGCGCATGCCTGTAATCCCAGCTACTCGGGAGGCTGAGGCAGGAGAATCACTTGAACCCAGGAGGCAGAGGTTGCAGTAAGCCGAGATCGCACCAGTGCACTCCAGCCTGGGCAACATGAGTGAAACTCCGTCTCAAAAAAAAGAAAGAAAGAAAAATTCTTTGAGAGAGAAGTTTCAATAAGCTTTGGTTTCTTCATTTGTATTTGTGTCTCATAATCCATCCCCTGCCTACTTTCCTGGGTGATCTAATGAATTAAATGTGATAATTGTGAAATAACTTGACTCTAATAAATCACTGTATAATCCTAATGTAGTGATAATAATCAACACAGTCCATATTTCTTTTGAATCTCCTATACAGTGCAATGACAGAAAAGTCAAATTCCAATCAAGTCTTTAAACATAGACAATTGCTCCAAATACATACTATGGAATTCTTATAGGTACAAGATAGCTTTGGAAATGTCTGATAACTGCAATATTAATCATTTTGGAGTGAATGACTTGTGAACAATACTTCATCTAGTATATTTTTCTATACTCAATCCTATTTTGCACATGTATTCTAATATATTTTATTTCACACGTGTGTGTATTTAACTTATAAACTCTTTCCTGATACAGTGCTTATTTTGTGATCACTCATAGCACCTGGCAGAGTATTCAGAAAATAGTCATTTGATTGAATCCATTTTTAGGATAAATGTTTAGACTTTTTTTTTTCCATAAAAGGGTACCTACTGATTTCCAGTATTTCTTCAATATATTTCTAGAATAATATAAAGGAGAGGTATAACGCTGGTTTCAGTGTTTTTTCATTTATTATATAAAAGAAAAAAAGTAATGCAGTTGTTTTGTACACATTTGAATTCCATAAAACAAATCCATAGAAATGAGGATACTCTATGCATGCACTCTGCATTTTCTTTGTTAAATGTTTTTATTCACAAAAATAACACCACATTTTTTTCTTTAAAGCCACTAAAGCAGAGGGAGAACAAAACATGCAGCACTGTACACATTTGCATAGTATATTTTACCCAGCATGCCTTGTAGAATGCTACACATACCTAGATAGGAAAAATAAAAGGGGACACATTATTAAAATAATTAAAATTTAAAGAAAGAAAAAAAATTATTTGACAAAGGCATTTTTTTATCCCACTTTGTCAATGGAGATATAGCAATAGCCTGGGATTTCAACAGCCCTCAGAATAGTAGGAAAAATCTTTTTATATCATTTTGCCATATTTCTGTTTTAGTATGTTTTATGTTAATACATTTATTTTTTATTCCCTCCCACCATCCCTACAAAAACACAGCTAATGGCTTTAAATTATGTTTCAAAGTAGTATTCAGTACAAAACAAACTAAAGAATCCCTAAGTAATATAATTCTTTGTGGTTGGGACATCTTTATTGATCTTTCTGACTTGAGGCTGTGAAAAATACGAAAATTTCAAACATGTCCAAAATTCAGAGGAGCCCTATGAGCTCACTTGCTGTGACTTTCTGCTGTTGTTATTGAAAGAGAAGAAATAAGAAGAGAAAATATAGTATGAGTGTTATCACAAAATAAAATTTAATAAACTTTATGGAAGGGAATAAAACAAAAGAAATTACATCCACAGATTGCAAGGCTATGAAATAAATTGCTGGAACAGTATCAAGCAGCAAGTTAAAAAGATGGTAGATGAAGTAAATCTGATAGAACTAATCGACATACTTTTCAAAAATATGACTGCCAAATTTAACAGTGGATTTTGTTATAAGTTTGTGCTATAACAAATGTGCTTCTTTCTCCTCAATCTATTTTTATATTATTGGCAAAATATATATTTTATAATTTTGTACTGTACAATATGTTTTTGCTACATTATTTTTCTACTGCTAATGCAGATTATAAATAACAACATAGATTTATTTTGGCAATAAAATGCTTTCATTTTAATAACGTCCCAGAAAATATTGTAAGGCATATGAAAAATAGTATGCAACAATATAGCGTTAATGATCCCGCATCTTTAATACATCCCTTATGCATACAGAATTCACACCGATTTCAGTTAAAAGTGTGTGAAAGTGGCATGCAAGTAGGGCAAGAGTGGCCCCTACATAAATATAGACATAGCCATTTGTTGAGAAATTTAAGTGTTCAAAACATAACCAAGAACACTTACAAAGTATTGAAAAGCTAGAGGCCAGCCACTACTGGTTCTTAGTTCCCCTTTTAACTCCTTATAATTTTCAAATGAGGAAGTATCAGTGTATTCTCCCAAACCACTCTAAATTCATTAGTAACAATTTCTACCATCCTTCTGCAAACATTTTACATACATCATGAGAAACAAAAGAAAGTTTCATACATAACTAAGACTCCCCCAAACCAATTGCTACTCACTCTTAATTATACTTTGTTTATGGCAAGTAGAAGTTACAGCCCTTAGGATTATCTGATGAGAAACTTTCTAGTTTTCTCATAATGTCCCTCAATTACATGAAGCATTTAGAATTAATCATCTATAAGTAAAAAGAGATAGTTGCTATCAGAGGATGTATTTTAAGAAAGTCCATTTTAATAAAAGAAGAAATCTTTAAAAGTAATTTTTGAATGCTGTAGTTCTGGGTGCCCATATAAGCCAATTTTACTATTTTGACTAACTTGACTGCTTGAGTCAAAAAGAAGGTTATCCTTACTGTCTGTCTAACAGCTAACTGGATTGACTTGACTGGTTTGATCATGATTACCATTTTAAAGAAGAGGACTGTTTTGCCCCATAGACATAGCTTGAGGAAGTAAACTTAGTAAGAGTTATTTTAAATATTGACAGTATTTAAAGGTATGAGAAACTAATAAAACAGATTTTATTACATAATTTCCTATAAAGTTTTCATTCATATAGTCATTCAAGGATGAGTTTTATATAATTAAAAAAAAAACACAACATGCAACATTGTCATAAAAGACAAAGGCAGAAATATAAAAGGAATAAGGGGTACACAGCATTTATTTGAAACATTGATATGAAGTTTATTCCAATTACATGGGAGTCCAAGATAATGCATATCCTTACCCAGTAAATAGCTAAGTCATGCTCTGGGTCTCTGCAGAAGTCAAGGACCAACAAAATGTGGATTTGCAAACCAGCTGCTCTTAAACATAAAGTCTCTGGACTTCTACTCTCTTTTAGACTTAGAACTAGATATTATAACAAGTTGCACACAAAGGCAATTCCCTTGCAGTTTGTTTTGTTCCCTATGATGACTTACATGTTAAATTAACCTTGCCTCATGATAAACTGTGGATCAATTCAAAGAAAACTTCACTAACGTGAAAGAAATGAAAGGGTGTCAAAGAGCATTTTGGAAACAGTTTAAAATCTAAAGGGAAGGCATATTTTAACACTCTATGCATTTAGTTTTGCAGCAAGGTTAGCCAGAATAGTGATAATTTTGATCACTACTTATTGACCAGTGTTTTTCCCTTTAAAGACAGATTGTCTTCTCTAGAGAAGAGGTAGTAAATATATCAGTACATAGGGTAATTTTTATAATGGTATTACATTTTTTAAGCAAATACCAAAATAAAACTGTGTAACTAAGAAAATATATACTAACATGCAAATTAAGGTTGCCAAGAAACATTCTTAATGGACATCCTGGGTCTTAACAACATTTTGTGATATGTTCATTTAAAGAGTTTAAATTTGCAAACCATCTTTTAGAATAATTTCCTTTTCTTACTTCCTTTCACTGCCTCCACTTCCTATTATGAATTTTAAGGCCCCCACACAAAAGACAAGTTCAAGTATGCAGGTATGAAAAGAGGTTAACATTCCAAAAATACATTTTGCAACAACAACAACAATTAAATAGCAGATTATTTAAAGGGAACAAATAATTGTCTCAGAATTTGTTTCACATTAATAAAATTCGTTTCATTAAAGACTAACTGCAATGACTTATATAGTCACAAAATTAAGACTCTTAGTAGGAAAGACCATCAGTCTAAATTGTGAACAATTTCAACCTTCTCTCCAATAGAACTGTATAAAGATAAGAGAGAATCATCACTTATAAACATTTCTAAGTGTTGCTTTAAATGTTAAACAAGATAATGTTGTTGGTTATAATATTAGAGTCACATTATACCCTTGAGAATTAACATCAGGATCGACAAATTGCATTCCTTTTTTTTTCCAGAACTACATTTCCACATTCTCACATGAGTCCATATTATTATATGTCTGTGACTGAAATTACAGAATTCTAGTATGTGGCTTGTACTGTAAGTTAAAACAGCCTCCAAACAGTAAAAGACTTGTTTCTCCTGCCTATAATCATTTGCTATCTTTAAATGAAATTAATTAAAAACAAAGTATTTATGGAATATGTATTTTTCAAAGGTGCTTGGTGTGCTTGGCAAAAATAAAACTTTTCATTTAGTATATATCTAGATTTTAAGTATCATTTACACAATAAACTCTTAAGTCTTTAAAAAAAATAAGATGTATATCCCCTTATCTGAGGAAGATAAACTTATTACAGAAGGAAGGGGAAAGAATATGCCAAATTAAAGTAAACATTTAAATATATCCATCAATAAAATATACATTATACCCTTTCCAAGATTGTCAGCTTTTGAGTAAGAATGCAAAGCAAAACAGGTATGGACGTCTGACGGTAAATGATAGATTGGTTTTGTGCACAGATATTGAATGAGCCTCTCCTTATCGGCATGACATGGAAGACTAAAAACAAGGCTTTGAGAGGCCTTTAAAAACAAGTGACTTTTAAAAAGTTGAAAGAAGATGGTAATCTTGATGACTAGGAAATATATGTAAATGCTGTTACAGCTACCTGCCATAAAATGTAAATATCTTAAAGTAGTTAAATGACCAAATTGCTAATGCTACTACAGAAAAAGCTGAACAGCTGTCTAGTCTAAATTTATACACCTTGGTGCACTCTTTGCAATTAAATACTTTAATGCGCACAAACAAGAAACCAGTAAAGCATATAGAAAAATGTTTTGGCTAATGTTTTCTTTCTCATGCAAGTATGTGCTGTACATGTAATAAATATATTTTTGTTTGCTGGAAGATGCTCTTCTGTGTTCTAACAAAGTATTCAGTAATGGCAGGTTATATGTTTATTAAAGTGCCTAATGGATATAACTCTTTTAAAATGTCTTAACTGAAAGTTTTGTAAGCTTCACTAGATGACAGAAGAATCTCACAAGCCAGTATCACATGTTAACTTTTAAAATTTACTAAGCCCATATTTTTTAATTGTATCAAATATTTGAAATGACTTACAGATTTATAGGTATCCTCATTATCAGCTAAACCGGTTTGTAATGGGGTACATATAGTGAACATAAAGGCAGGGGGGATGTGGTGAGGTTGTAATGGGGTTCAAGATATATATATAATTCATCAGTAATATGGAACTTCTTTCCATGGTCGAGAAGATTACTGAACTGGTGCATGCTTTGAGTACCTAAATATTGAAAGGCTTGGGGAGAAAAGAAGATACTATAAAATTAATTATCATCATTTTCAAAAATAGGCTTCATGACATGTACTAGCAGAAAAGGACTTTGATGGCTGGACTTATTGGAGTTTTAGAAAATGCATGCACTGTGGACATTTAGAAACAAGAGCAATTTTTTAAAAGATATTTATGTAAAAAGGGTCAATTTCAATAATTTCTTGGATCATAGTGAATCTAAGGCTTCCTTGATAATATAAAACATAGGTCACCAATTCCATAATTATAGCCACTGGAAAAACGGTGAAGACTTAATAAGATGAAGAGGAGTGTTCATTAGAAATAAGGCAGCTCAATCTCCAAATTCTTTATAATTTTCTGCATTAAAATGCTATAATTTTAGTCAACAAATATTTCTGAATCTATGAGTTTATTTTTTGGTGCAAGCTTTCAAAATCATTTGTTTCAACCTTTTTCAATTAGTCATTTTGTAAAAACACCTCCTGAATATCAAAGTTGAGTGTGTCCACATAAAACAAAAATCCTTAGCATGATTTAAAGAATCTGCTGAAGGGCCAGAACATTCAGATATCCAAAGACAGAGACTGAAAGAAGCAATGGAAAGATACTCAATCTTGTTGGCGGGAAATACTGACCCTGCGTTTGTATTAAGAGAAATAGATGAATTCCCGTCTGGAAGTGCTTAGCATTACACTCAGGAGGATTGGTACCACATCCTTACTATCTGACTTTAGATTCCTGGATGTATGTAGTTGTGCTCAGATTGATTAAAGGGAGAACAACACCCCATTTTATATTTCACATAACCAGCTATGCTTGGGCTTCTCTTTACTATTCTCTCTTACTGCTGAAAACATTTTGAGGTTTTTTGCTTGTTTGTATTTGTTTTTGCCAACCTCAAATGAGCTAACAGTACTGACTAAACAAAAAGCAAAACACTTTGAATACAACAGCTGTGCCAGGAAAGAAATAAAAATATTAAAATCTGAGGAGACTATATAATTTCTGCATTAAGATTTCTGAGATTTTTTTTGGCACTATCAATACATTTGGTAAGTTTGAAAAGTCATTCTGGCAACATTAACATATATTAAAATGTTTATACACTCCAACTTTAAGTGTAAATTTAGCTTCCAGCAAATAAATACCAAAGCTGGATTTGGCTTCTATTGGTATTTCTATTTTCTTATTAGTTTTTTTTTTTCCCAGATTTTTCAATTGATTACAACATGCTCAAGTAGACTTTCTAGTCAATTCACCCAAATTCCAACAGGAATTGGTTTATAAATTGGTTCCAACTGGAACTGGTCATTTGGAATTTCCAGCATGGGAAATTATTTTATATGTGCCTTGTAAGTACCCTAAATTACAAATTGATGTGTCTAAATCTATGAAGAAAACAAAATGTACTGTTATCATGTAAATGTTGCACTTAAAAATATCTATATGATCGGGCATCTAATATCCATCTAGACTCAAGGGCATAATGTAATTTTTTTTGCCCCTTACTTAGCATAAAATGACAGCAGCCCATTGGCACAGTAAATACTGTGCTATGTTAGCCAAGTTAAGATGATTGGTTTATCCTAGCACTGCTATGGCAAATTGTCAACAGATGAATATTTTTTGTTTCATCAGACTCAAAGCCTATGTCGGGAGTCATGGCTATATCCCCCAGGTGATCCTCGGTTCCTATGGGGTTTGTAAGTGTCCTGGTATGAGTCAGGGTAATCTTCTTCCACAAGAGGGTAATGATCTCGGCTATGCTGAGAACTGGAAGACAAGCGGTTCCTACTCTTCCGAGCCCTTTCATTGTGATAATTTTCATCAGAGGTCATTAGACTTCGTCTTTCAATTGGAGAGTTCTCTGTGGAGTGGTTGCTGTGCCTCATTCGCTGACTCTAAAAATATCAGATAGTTCATTGATTAAATAATGTCAGCTTCATTCATCTAAACATGTAAATGTATGTAAAATCATAGGATCTGTACAATAAGATGCTAAATATCTGACTTAATAAGGCATTCTGATGCACCAATGGTCTGCTCAGAATATCTGGTCTTATTTATTTGGGACCCAACATGAAAAGATGCCAGAGTGTTGATAGTTTATGAGTTTAATTCCACAGTGCTGAATGACTATGCTTCCTATTACAAATGTAGAATTGAAAGCTAACTGTTAAATGGAACTTAATATATTTAGGAAGGTCTAAATGGACTTACTCTATTGCATTTCTATTGCAAAAGTCCATTTCTATTGCAAAAATGAAAATTATTTTACTATTGGGAAATAAAGTTCAGAATAGCATTTATTATTTCTCTCCTGAATTGATATAATATTTCTCTTTCTAAAGTAACACAACTCACCTTGATCTAACTGAATATTCCTTATACCTTTTAAAACATTTTAATAAAATTATTATTTGTGCTGTTCATAAAATAAAGTGTTTCTGCATCCTACATTAATGTAATAATCTTTCCAAGGGTGTATACAATAATTATGAAGCCAGCTAATTGATACATTTATAAATCTTGCTTCCTCAACTAAAATGTCCTGCAAAATAATCTTCCAATATAAACTAAATTCCTCTAATACCATTAATTGAAATTAGTATTTTAAGATACTTATTTGAAGGCTCAGAAAATATTATTTAACATTTTTCTTCACTATAAGAAAACATTTATCTACTTGTGTCTACCGGTTTAGGTAGGTCACATCAGTTAAGGCACAGGATCCTGGTGAAACCATGGGCTGACACATCTCATCTAAAGTACACTCAGATTCAGGCAGAAGGAAATTCATTTGACAGGTCACAGACTGTGCCTTTAACCTCAGTCAGGTGCCTCACAATGAAGTGTCAATTGTTACTGGGAGAAGAAATAGGCCACAGAATAAAGGGCAATACATTAACTCATTAGTGAAACAGGGAGGGCCACTCTAGGTGGATGTCTTAGCAGTGATGAGTCAAGATTATTGTATTCAATACGAAAGTGCAACGCTGCATTTCCACCTACATTACAGAAGTGTATTGCTTCATGCATCTATTTCTCATTCCGTAATGTACAATTCAGAGCCAATCCAAACTAGTCAGCAGTAATGTACACTCAGATCAGCCCACAGGAAGTGAAACAAGGCATGAAATAGTCCCAATGTATGCACATGTGCTGTACATTACCATAGTACATTTTTCATGTTCATTTCTAGTTTCAAAAGCTATTCATTTGCATGGCAGTTTTTCTGCTTACAAAGATGCAATTTTGTAACAGAGTAATACAGCTATAATAGCATTTCAGAGAGTGCCATTTATCTCAGAGTTAACTCTGTATGATCGACAATTATGACTATCATTATAATCCATTAAAACAAAACTCATCATCATACAAGAGGGCTCAATTGACTACTTGTTCCTCAGTTTGCTGCAGGTTTGGCCACATTCCAGTAGCTACTTGATGAATGGTAAATAATAATTGATGTAGTAAGGCAGGCTCATTTTGTACCATAAGGTCTCTGGCTCCCTATCTCTACCTCTGAGTACAGCACCAGAACAGCAGAAGAGGGAACCTCTTGATCCTGTGTTCATCCCCAGCTTCCCTAAAAGACACGTGCCACAGCCACTTACAAAGGTGGGCCCCTGCACAGCCCCAAGAAAACTCAGGGATCAGTTACTGTTTCTGAACAGAGCAGCTCTACTTATATCCACACTGTCTTGTGCAAGGTAGAGAGCAGGCCTAGCAACCTGGGTGGGGCAGGATTAGTTAAGGGCAGTCGAAAGGCCTATCTGCATCTATATATCTTACTTAGCTATTGTGCAATCCTTGAGAAGTGGCATTAAGAAGTAATGAAGGGGCCAGGAGTGGTGGCTCATGATGGTAATTTCAACATTTTAGAAGGTCAGGGCGGGAAGACTGCTTGAAGCCAGGAGTTTGAGACCATCTTGGGCAACAAAGTGAGACACTGTCTCTACAGATTTTTTTTTTTTTAACTATCCACATGCGTGGTATGTGCCTGTAGTCCCAGCTATTTGGGAGGCTGAGGCAGCAGGACTGCATAAGCCCATGAGTCCAGGAACTTGAGGCTGCAGTGAGCTATGATCATATCACTGCATTCCAGCCTGGACAACAGAGTGAGACTATGTCTCTAAAAAAAGTAATGGGCAGGTACATTGAGTAGGCATTAAGTTTCCCAGCAGAGTTTAGACACAGGAGGAGTTAATTTACCTAAGTAAAATCCATTATAAATTCACAGAGAGCAAAGTTCTCAGGAAATTGTCAGTCTCTGGGTAGTTTTCCCTAGGATAGATCATAATTAGATAATATTTAAGATTTTTAAATATAATGTGCACATAGTGTTCCCTCTTCAGATTAAGGATGACTCTAGTCTCCATTCTAATCAAGTTCCCATAGAATCTTACATGTAAGGTTGTAAAAAGCATGAGCGAAAAAGTGACAATACCTGTAACCCAGAAATTGCTGTGGGATATGGTGAGAGTGCTGTGGAGCCCAAATTCCTTCCCAGCAGTGGGGTCATGGGTGTGCTACTCGTCGTGTGGGTGGCACGCCAGTATGCCTCCAGGTACTCCCCTAGATGTTCACATGCATCCTCAAGCTGATTTTCATCCAATATAACATCAAACATTTCCTGTAGATGACAAGAAAATCCACTTTACTTCCATTTTAGGTTTTTAGGCAATGAAACCTAAAATTCCACTTAACACAGATAATAGCATTTTTAATAGCTATTCGCTAATATCACATTTGAGGTGCTATATGGGCCGTTTCTAAAGTTAGGGTCAAGTGAAGAGTTACACAGTATTCCATGAACAAATGTGGACATTAATATAAAAGTGAGAGTGTTCATTCAATATTTGGATCTTTCTTTCTTTTTTTTTTTTTTTGAGACGGAGTCTCATTCTGTTGCCCAGGCTGAAGTGCGGTGGCATGATCTTGGCTCACTGCAACCTCTGCCCACTGGGTTCAGGCGATTCTCCTGCCTCAGCCTCCCGAGTAGCTAGGATTACAGGTGCCTGCCACTACACTCGGCTAATTTTTTTGTATTTTTTTAGTGGAGACAGGGTTTCACTATCTTGGCCAGGCTGGTCTTGAACTCCTGACCTCATGATCCACCCGCCTCAGCCTCCCAAAGTGCTGGGATTACAGGCATGAGCCACAGCGCCCGGCTGGATCTTTCATTATTCAGAAAGAAAAAGATAAAGTAAGTGTAAATGTATTATAGGTAAAATATAATGAAAACCCGTGTGTATTCACATCTTTAGCCATATATTCCTATAGAGCTGCACTCTGCACGCTTCAGAATATGAGAGAAGCAAGTTTGTGGCACTGAGAAGGGAGTTCTAGACATGTTTTGGGCAATGACCACATCATTGGAATAAATATTTCTTCTCCTAAGGTAACTATGTTGAAGGGAATAACATTTACTTAGATAATTTTCAGAATGCTTGTGAAAATAACATTATATGTCTTAAGATAAAACACCAAGGAAAGAAAGTTTAGGATTAATAACAGAAAACCACATGGCAGTGGTTTGCTACCACAAGAGCATTTTGTGAAATGGTTAAAAAAGAACAAGGGGTGTTTAATTGGGGAAAGCAGGGGGTCACAAAAGAAGTATCTGCTGTCCATGTTTCGGACAGTAAGGCCATTGTTCAACATCTGGTCTGGACTTAGGAAGCTGTTCTGCCCCAGAGGAGCAGGGTGGCCCCCCCTGTCATTACAGTTTGGCTGGGAACACAGACAGGATATACCCCAGACATACACTCTTCAGAGGGAAATCAGAAAACTTTGGCATCACACAAAGAGAAAAGTCACTCCACAGGTAAGTGTTAGCACATCTCAACTTTCTTTTCTCTTCTCTTCTTTTCTTTTCTTTCAGAAAGAGTGTTGCTCTGTGGCCCAGGGTGGAGTGCACTGGAGCAAACACAACTCACTGCGGCCTGGAACACCTGGGCTCTAGCGATCCTCCCACCTCAGCTTCCTGAGTAGCTGGGACCACAGACATGCACCACTGCACCTGCCTAATTTTTTTAACTTTTTGTAGAGATAAGATCTCACCATGTTGCCCAGGCTGGCCTCAAACTCCTGGGCTCCAGCGATCCTCCTGCCTCGGCCTCCCAAAGTGCTGGGATTACAGACATGAGTCACCATGCCCGGCTCACATCTCAACTTTCAATAGAAGGATTGAAATGCCTTTCCCGCCACCTTCATCTGCTTTTATGAACTCATTTTACCAAAATAAGAACCTCCCAGGAATGAATCAAAGACAGGGTCACTGCCATCGGCACTGATAAAGCTGGCTGAATTTAGGTTAATGGCAACTGGATGATGTGAAGTTCATGGTGTCTCAGCTCAGTCATTCTCTTCTGTGCTTAGAACAGAAGTCACCATGGAAACAATCTCTCTCCTAACATTTACTATTTAAATGTTTCATCACATCAATTTTTATGGAAAATTTTGGCCTTAAATTGGAAAGCCATTTGGGGTTCTTGGAACAGGACTAGGAAAAGAATAAGATGACTTCAGTCCAAATGGACTCATGTTTGAGAAGACTCAGCCAGTTCAACTCAGGTGGAAAATTACCCCCAACCAAGAACAGTTATTAGTAAATTTCAGATTTTTTTTTGCATATTTTATTCATTCATAAAATATTTACTCAGTCCCTATTTTCTTCTAGGCACTGTGGGTATACAGTGGCAAGGAAAACAGGCAACATCTTATGCTCAAAAAGCATAAAGTGTGGAAGGAGAGGTAAGTATTAAAATCCATAATAATCTATGTCACGCTGGGACTTTAATTCAGAAAAATAAAGAGACTGAGCCAGTTAACGTTTGGAGCTGCAGCATAAAGTTCTGGATTTAGAAGGAGGCTTGGAGAGATGTGTGAAAACTGAACTTACAAGAAAGGGGAAGTTATGAGTAAGCCAAAGAATGTCATCTGTAGAGGGACGAGAATAAAACAAAAAAAGAGAAGCAGAGGCACAATGGAAGAAAGAGACCATATAGCCATGAGGGCCAGGGAAAGCCCAGGCTTACAATAAATCCCGTTTTCCACTAAAGTAACCTAAGGGAATTCCTTGTCTCTTGCAATCAAAAGCCCCTCCCCCACTTGTGTAAACGTTCAGCAGTAACAAATATAGAATATCAGAACTGTCCATGATACTTTGACATAAATAGAAGCAGCGAGGTGCTGACTTGAGTGAGACAAGGACAGCTATACCCCAAAGAACATCCACAGACTCAGATGGCACAGGAGGAAGAAAGAGGAAACGAGGCAGCACCAGAACAAAGGACCAGTCTCTCGGTCATTCCAGGCTAAAGTGTGCTGCAAGTTCTACACTTTATGTGATCTGGAGTTGGTTGTTTATATCATTTTATTTATGTGAAACATAAAATTTAATTACATAGGTCTCATATAATATGGGTTTGATTAGTCTCAACAAGTCATTTTCTTGCTGTTTCTTGAAGTGCCAAACTGAAAAACCTTCCAAGGATACCTGGGCTGGATGGGTCCTGACATTCACAGCCAGGATTGCAAAGCCCAAGGAGGGTAAGCAGCACCTATGGCAGAATGTTATTTGAATAAGGTTTATATCTACTTGGCCGTTCTACTTGTTACTTTGTCACTGTTGTAGACATAGTGGCACATTTAATTACCCTAAGTTTAATAAAGCACTTCTCTTTGCCAATGAATGGATAGAATTTGTATGTATCAGCACATGGCTGTGTGCTTAAGCCTCCGTCATTTCTAGGAAACTGCTTTTGCACTGCTAAAAGACAGATATAGGTTGGAAGATGACTTGAAACTGCTTTTAGGCTTTCAAAAAACACAGAGAAAAGCAAATTTCTGCTTCTGAATGAATACTGACATATGTGGCTTATTTTCAATGAGGAAGAATTTCACAGCCTGTGTATCTGTGACAATTTTTCTCTTTAGCTGTTTAGGAAATAACACAGCTGAGTAGACCAGAGTGATAGAAACTCAGTATCAGGGGAAAACAATTTTTAAAAATCATACAAGAAATGCAAAGAGAAGCAACCCAATGAATTATGCAAACCAGCTTTGCCAATTTTTCATAAATTTAAAGGTTCAAGTGCAGTCAACTCCTTACTATGCAATACGTGGCCTGCAGCATGGGCTATGGATGCAGAGAGCTCCAAATCAGCAGAAGTCCCAGGCAGCGAACAGTTACCAACTCAGTGATACCATGCCCTTGGTGCAGCCCAAGAGAAGGGCATCGCTGAGCTGTTTTCAAAGCACAGCCACAGGGAACACCTCTGCCCTTCTATGATGGGATGTTCTCTTCAGCTGAGGTAGGCAGAATGGTGTGGCTGCCAAAGTAAATAAGTAGTGAATAGGAGAATCAAATCAACCATCAAAACATCAGGCACATTAGGCTCCCTTTCTGGATAAGCTCTTTCAAGAAAATTAAAAAATAAAATAAAAGCACTGTAAATAACCCAGAGTGAAAAACAGGCCTCTAGCTCATTTAGTGGAGAGCTCATTTAGCTCTCATTTATGAGAGCTAAAATGGCAGAGAAGAAAGAAAGGGGAAGAAAGACTGAAAGTGAATAAAATGGAAATGAATATTTGCAAGGTCTTAAAAAAACAGTATTTAACCAACCGTTTGGTTCTCCATTAACACAGTAAGATGTAACACTCTTTACTAGGGAAGCCATCTGAATTAGGGTGACCAATTATTGTGGTTGCTGGGGATCTCAGTGTTTCTGGGATGAGACTATCCCTGCTAAACCTTGAAAATCCTGAGCAAATGGTGGGTCGCCCTACTTTTTACAGAAGATGCAGTGCTCTTCGAGTCCTACCTGGAGGAAATGAAGCATATTTCATTTATTTCTTTTCAATTCTTTTTGGAGGGAAGATATATAAAGACACTGGGTAAGTCTTCCTTAATGACTATAAAATACATATTTTCTAGCACGTTGGGGAGAATCTCATTAAAACTAACGTATATTGTCTGATTTTTTTAATCTAGGAAGCAGCTATTGAATATTTTTAATAAAAAGTATATAAAATGTAGAAACTAATTTTGAAGTTTAATTTTAACTTTTTTTTTTGGAGATACGGTCTCACTCCCACACCCAGGCTGGAGTGCAGTGGCGTAATCTCCAATCACTGCAGCCTCTATCTCTGGAGCTCGGGTGATTCTCGCACCTCAGCCTCCTGAGTAACTGGGACTACAGGTATGCACCACCACACCCAGCTAATTTTTTGTAGTTTTTGGTAGGGATGGGTTTTCCCCATGTTGCCCAGGCTAATATCGAACTCCTGGGCTCAAGTGATCCACCTGCCTCAGCTTCCCAAAGTGCTGGGATTACAGGCATAAGCCACTGTGCCTGAACTTCACTTTTTAAAGTTGGTTCATTACTGAATATTAGCTAGACAGGGGACTAAATGTACCAAAACTCTCCCATGCATATAATAATAATTATAATTATATGCATTGCTTTACATTTATTTGTTGTACATAGATAAAACTGCATGTTGGGCATTTTCTTATTTCTAAGTGGTAAAAAGAAATAATATGGGTGAGCATACTTTTATTTCCTTGTTATTGGAAAATAACCCTGAAACTGACACCAAAAAAAAAAAAGGCAGCACTTTGGGAGG